CCACATCAATAAATGATGTTGACACGGACTAATTAATAAAGATTTTGGACTACTCCTCTTAATAAGGTTGACCTTTTAAGATGGACCCCCAAATTTTTAATAATATTCTTATGCCATGTTTGGTGGGGATTAAAATTAATTTTTTAATAAATTTTGATAAAAATTGATAAAATATGTGGTTGAAAAGTTGTGAGACCCATAAAATATGTGATTAAAATTAATTGTTGACTTTAACTTGATTATTCTATAACACGCTTTTCTTTATTCAATTTATTAATTACCATTGAATTTTGTGGATTTGAATAAATTTCCATAAATTTCATAAGAATTTCATTAAATATGGTGAAATTTCAAAAGATTTGTATGAATTTTTAAGCTTGAATTCCATCCAAATCTTTTAAAATTCATCCATTAATAAAATCTTTATAAATCTATCAGTTATCTAGAATACTAAATTTTCAATGATTTCATTAAAATTTTAATTGGAGACACCTAAATTTTAATGAGTTTCATTAAAATCCATTAAAATCTCAATTGAAAATACCTAAATTTAGAATGATTTTTAAAATCTATTTCAATTTCAATTGAAGAAACTCCCCTTAGATTATGTATGGTTTTCTTAAAAGTTATTTTTCAAAAAAAGTAAATTAATAATTACATTCTAGTGAAAAATCACTGAGTCCACCGAGGTGAACTTGATACCTTACTTCACACTTTACGATTGAAATTAAATGAAATTTCAAATTAGCAATTACAAAGACTAAGGGGATGTTCTCTTTGTCGTTTTCTATTTTTATTTTTCCAAAATAGTGAAAACACATTTATTTACCTATTTTCAAAATCGAATTTCTGAAAACGTGTTTAAAATTTACAAAAAAAATCGAAAACGTAAAAAAAAAATGTCGTTTTAAGTGTTTTCAGTTAAAACCAAGGCAAAATTTTGAAAATGCGTTTTGGGTGTTTTCATTTACGTTGCCAACAAAAATCACTTCCACCCCACCCCACCCCACCGCGGCTACACCTCCAAAACCACCGCCGACGACATTGCGACCCACAGCCATAGCCACAGCGAGAACCACTGCCACGTAACCAAACACCACAGCCACAACCAACCACTGCCATAGTAAAAAAAAAAGACAGACGAAGCCACCAGTGATCGCAGCCACAATCAACCATCGTCGCACACCACGTACCCAAAACCACCACACACCACCGCTACAGCCACAACCAACCACCGCCACANCACCGCCACAGCCACAACCAACCACTGTCGCACACCACGCACTCAAAACCACCACGCACCATCGTTCGTTGCTCGTCGACAGAGAGGAGGGGTAGAAGAGAAAGAGAGATGACAGAGAGGGAGTGGGGAGGGAAGAAAGAGAACGTGTTGTTCAATTTTTGATTTTTGAAAATAATTTTTCTAAATGACAAAAAGAACACATTTTCAACAATCTCAAAATGAACACTCAAAACACAAATCCAAAATAAATTCAAAATTCAAAACAAAAAATTAAAATACAAAGAGAACAACCCCTAAAGTTTTTTACATTTTGAAATACATTACACATTACCTCTATGTGTACATGCAAAAAAGAAAGAAAAAATAAAAGAGGATGATTTTTTAAGAAATTATAAAATTAGTTTTCGACTTCAGTATATTGGGAAATAAAATAAAACAACAAGAAGAAAATCTAAGAAATAAATTCCGTCAAGTTTATGCATTAGTTTTAGAGTGTAAAATTGAAAAGTATGGAAGCACATATTTCCTAAAACAATATTGATGGAATTCAATTTCATTTTTCACATGAAGTTTTTAACAGAATTCTTAAAACTTTAATTCGTTATTGAAATGAGATATAATTATTTTATCATTAATTTCAAAACGAAGTTGTTTAGGTCAAATTGGTCAATGATGATTTAAATATATGCACTTCATTTTATATAATTCTTGGGATTTGTGAAGATGTGAAGTGAAATACTAATTTTAATTAGTATTTTATATGGGTAATTAACACGTAACGTCATTGTTTTTTACTATTACTATGAAAATGTTCTTCTTCTTTTTTTTTTTTTTGACATTTTTATTATTAATTATACATTTAATTGTGCAAAACATTATTTTCATCCAATTTCTCAATAAAAAACTATAAAATGATTAATATACTCTCATATTTGAATAAAACAAAAAGGGAAGAAAAATAAATAACTAATTACAATCATAGTCCCAATTTTTTTTAACAAAATCCAAACAAGTCCCAAACAAATTATTAAAAAATTTAAAAATCTCTTTATTTCTCGTTCCCCTTCTTCTTATTCTTCTTCATTCTCCCCCTCCTCCACCACCACTAGTACCAACTTTTTCCCCTTACAATCAATGCCTCATAATTGTGCCCTCGCCTTTCCTTGCCAACACCTGCATCGCATCCGGTCCGACGACCTCCAGCTCAACTCTTTCCCCCTTCAACATAATCGACAATAACACCATCTTTTACCTCAATTGCTCCGTCAAAGTAATGAACTCCCCTTTAAACTGTACCTCTAGCAACGTCTACCATGAGTACATCAATGGCACGATCGGGAGTGACTGTATCAATACGCCTCTGTGTTGTACGTTCAGGGCATGAGGATCGACAACGGCTTACAGGATACGAGTTAGGGACATGTGTTGCAAGGTTAAAATTACGCGTTCGACCATAAAATCACCTAGAGATGTGTGGATATGTGAATAATGCGGAATTAAAA